GTGAAATAGAAAAACGAGAATGACTGAAATCGGAGATCCCCAAGAAAAAATCTATTCAGAGCGCTTTGTTGAATGGAAACGGTGAAAAAACAGCGTTGTGAGGAAATGAAAGTCGACCAGACGTCGTTGATGGGATACCCATAACGGCAGCAGCTCAGCAAAACAGAAAGCAACTATGGAAACTAGCCAAATAACATGACGTAGCGAGCAGATGATCGAGGCTTATTAATCGCCCATACCCATTCGAGATTCGAATCAGAGCGATTGCAATGAAAAATGGGATTGGAGTTGGCTTTCCAAACAGACGACAAAGTCGAAACATAAGCCAAACAAATGCATTAGCAACATTGGAATGCTGAAATACAGACTTTTCTTCTTTTTTCAGCCTCTGCTTGCTTGCTATCGCTCACCGTAATTTTCTGATCTTGCTGTTTTGAGAGCGCTCGCCGCTTCACTAGATGATCACCTATTATCCCCTCCGTTGTCGTTTTAATGCGTTGTAGTAGGGGTGCGGGGGAGGACCACTGCATTGCGCTCTTTATAACCCTCTTTTCAAGACAGAAAAAATAGCGCTCATGATACATAACGATCAACCCATTTTAATACATTTCTTAAATGGGAGACGGTCAAGAGTGGACCGCCGCGTCACCGGCGTTTTGCGGTTTAAAACATGCATTATGCCAAATTCAGGACCTGCCTCTCTAGACGATCGATACAACGCTTTTGTTCCGTCTGTGTAGTCCCCATTTCTGCATTTGTTTTAGCTTAGTCCTAGCAAATTGCCACGTTCCAACTTGTAAGGGATACGGTAGCCGCCGCGTGCGGTGACCTACTTTCGCTTGCGCGGCGACCTCAGGGGGCTTTCATCTCGAATCCATAATAAATATCGATGTAATGTGGAGGAATTTCTGAGATGCATTTAAATTCCGCCCGCCATCGTACAAGGAAATCTTTGCCCCCCCCCCCCACCTCCCTGCCAATCTCCATTTTTACCACGTGCCCGTGAGGGACACCACTCAACTGAAAAGCTGCTTATTATAAGGGGCCACCAGAAACTTTCACTAAGATCCGACAAAAAATTCACCAAATAATACTTTCATGGTTCCCTGCACACTGTCGAAGAAATGGTTACCGCAACTAATCTGGCAGGAGTCCTTGCCTTTTTCGCTAACATATTCCTCGTTGGTGGGGAAAATCGGCGTTTCGTGGAGGGACGAGCATTTCCTCAATCCCTTTTTGCAGCCAACTTTCACAATTACATTACAATCACTCTAAAATTCCGAAGATGTCCACCCGAAGATTCCGCATGACAAACTGAGCGTAATCAGTATATCGAGCCCGTTATTTAAATCGAGATTCGTTCACTTCTTGTTGTTCATTTCAGCTGTTTTTGTTATAAGTTGATTTCAGGACGCTATCGCAAGATAGGGGCGCAATGTGATGGCGATGGATTCGAAACCGGCTGAAAGATCTCTTTTTGTTGAAAATGGGGCCAAGCCCTAGGCGAACAAAACAGGCTACAGGGTTCGTCCGTACTTTTTATATTCTCCAAAGTAATTGCTCCGCCATACGCTAAAAGGAAGGTCTTTCAGGAATAGAGCGCTTGTCGAAGATGTTTTTCCTATAGATCATATAAGAGGTCAGCTAAGAAGACACAGAACTACGATCAGATTTCTTCTTGGAGCCTCAGGAATTGTAAAAAACAAAAGGTGGATGGATGGTCCAGAATTTCGATTCCTGATGACGACTAATTTTTGCACATATACATACATAGTTTGGTGCCCCCAACTCGCCACCAAATGGCACCGTCGTCGAGAATAGATGTCATTGTCGTGCTTTGTGGCATTTCGGAGACGCCAACATGAATTGCAAAAATTTGTCATCACGGAGGGTCGAACTTTTCTGTGTTCCTCGCATGAGCCCCTACCGTAATAACTTCGGTTCAAAAGGCCATGTCCTGAAAGGGCAGTCTATTGTAAGTTTCGGTAGGGTTGCTAGTATCTTGCGACAGCGCCCATTTCGGAATAGAAACCTTGCCAAAAAAATGCAGAAAGAAAGCGTGCGTTTTTCCGAGACAGTAGGATTTTTTGTGTAACTGAGAATAGTTAGAAACATTTCAATTTGAAACTTGCGCTCAAATGAAAATATAAAATCAAAAAAGGTTCAGAAATGTGTGAACGTAATCCACAAGTATTGCGTCGATGAGGAACCAAAAAAACATCGCCGAGACTGCCGTTAAGGCTGAGCATGTTTTTTGTCATTTCCAAGTTCAATTGGAATTAATCGCTGTTTGATGCAACCGATTTACGAGCTCTTTGCCAAACCGATGTTTACGCTCAGAGCTCCCATTACCAGTAACGTATTTGTCCTTGATTTCAATCAACACACAAAGTGTCCACTTTGGGGAAAGCCATCAAAGCGCTCTGGGATAAATAAATAGAAATCGCGTTGAACCCTTTGAGACTGTGCGAGGAGGCGTTCCACTTTCCACAATCGGTCTCCAAAATGGACGTTAGCTAGTTTCACGGAATTAGGCTAATGAAGTGAATTTGGAAGGCAACACTCACTGAAGAAACATGGATTAGATTGTAGATAAACTGGTCTCGTAAGGGAAATCATATGCAATTTTTAACCCTAAATCTTCCGACGACGGCATACGGAAAAAATCTTAGCTTCGAGCACATTTAGGCCTATTTTACTCACTCGTTATGCTTCAAAAGAGTCATTAGTCCTATGTTGAGCCTAGAAAACCGCTTTTCCTAGGCTCCTAAAAATATTAACCCAGAAAAAGTTTCTAGGCAATAGCATCTTAGAGATAGCAAATTTATTTGTCAGATCAGGATCTCAAAAGTAGCTTCATTTGGAGGCATAGTGCCAAGGCTGTGCCTGTTCCAAGGGTACAAATAGGCGACAAATGACTGTAAACTTGCAGGATGGGATCTGCATGAACGAGCATAGTTATTAAAGGACAAATTCACCATTGAATGAAGGAGAAGAAGGTAATTCACCTAGTTGAGGGACCCGCGGACCTCCTAAGGGTGCGGACTGAAGCGCAATTGGCACCGAAGGAGTTGACCTCGGCGACCTATTAAGGCTCAATCTTGGCGCGGTGGGCCAGTGCACGCCCACCGATCATCTGATCACTCGCCGCAGGTCTATACGTGGCGAGTGATTAGATAGGTGAGAGAGCGTAGTGTTGAAGAGGGCACAGCGATGAGAGTCGCATCAATGCTCAAATCAACGGGCAAGGAAGGGGTCCCATTTCTCGGGTTCTGGGCCGTTTCTCATGGTTCTTCCTTCTTTCTTGTACTCACCATCCCTAAGTTAATTTGAAATGGGTTGCCTTTCCAGCGTGAATTCGTCCTAATTGAGGCGCCCATAAAAAAGCGTCTTAGGATAAAAAGGATCTGCGCGATAACTGCCAAAAACGGTCACGTAGGCGGCGCGTTAGATCTTACCTATGCCGTGGAACGTGCCTTAGATACAGATTCGCTCGTGCTTCTTACAGGTACCAAGCGATCGGAGAGACTATCGAAGGCTGTCGACTTTTGCAGACCTCAGAAACCACAGTACATGTTTAACTGCAAAACAAATGCTAGTCACGACACAACAACCCGACAAGGGCGCTAAAACTTGGTTCCAGTTGCCTCGCTGAGGCCCCGGGGTTTTTTTTTATTTGAGACACACGTCTGCGTTATTTTCGCAACGACTGGTCTATCACAACCCGCGTTGACTGGCTCATACTCAACAATTCCTTGCAAAAAAGAAATTCTCTCAGTTCCAGTGTATTCCATGGTTCGGAAATCGTCAGCGAGGCTTTTTTCCTCACTGACAATCCTCTTCACAACCTTAGTTCCATATAAAAGACGAATAACACACTAATTCGACGGCCTGTGCCTTTGAAATTTGAAAGTTCCTGTGATCGCTCTCGATGGAAAATCGTATCCTAAATCGCTATTAATGCTGATTGACTCTATCCCCCAGCCCTCTCAGGATCGTTCCCGAATTCTGATCGCGATTTGTAAGTAGTGCGAAATCAACTAGCTTCCGTATCTCAACTGTTTGTTTAGTTGCTTGGGCGAGCAGACGAGTTCTTTAAAGCGTTGAGCTAATCTGTTTACAAAATTTGGCCCTCGTTAAGCAAGGGTTTAAGCAAAGGGCATCGTAAAAAAAGTCCTGAATTCGGTTTGGGTTCGAATTTGGTTAGTAGCGATCGGAAATCACGCACTGGAGTTTTCGCAACTTATAGGAAGAATTGTAACGCACCTAGTCCAAAAACATTATTGTAGGGCGATCCGGTGATTACGTCAACGCTTCCCCCACCAAAAATGCATACCGCCAAAATATAGCAAATTTCAGTGGCCCGTAAGCATTCTGGTATGATATTTTTAACGACACCGGAGCGTTTGCCACTTTAACGATCAAAACCTAAGGATGCTAGAGCCATCTTACCCAAATAGTCGCTTTCTTTGTGGTTTCAAAGAGACTAAGCATACGGATTAGCTGCCCTGCACAATAAGGATAGCTGTAAGGCGCGTTTCTGTTTATGATCGTCAGAGAGGTGTTCAGGGAGATTCAGCTACGGTTGACTGCAGAAACGAGAGATCTCGAGGATGGAAAAGC